CATTTGAGATCACCTGGGCACGCCCAATCTGATCTCAAAAACCTTACCATCACAATCATAGACCACAACGAGGGTTGGTCAAGGGCCGACAGACTCGCTCGGGAAAGGTTTTGGATAAGTAAGCTAAGGACAGTTTCCCCAGAGGGCATAAATGAAAAAAACATAGAATGAGTCACTCATTTTCCCTACTATCACTCATTTTCCTACCATCACTTGTTTCTAGTAACTCAGGCTTCCGTACTGGACTTTTACTGTTTTAAGGAATTTTTTAATTATACTAGTTCAAGTTACAGGGTTCTATTCATTTGGTAGGGATGTATAAGTACGCAGTCACGTTCAATTATTTAACCTAAGTCAAAATTTATTATTATTTTTTTAATCATTATCAAACTGCTATCTATTTGGGAAGTTTAAATACGCAGCCTCTGTTTTAATTACTCTACTGTTGTCACATTTGAAATATTATACTAGCTTGGATCGGTCAGTTCTGTTTATTGGGAATGTATTTCCACGCAATCGTTGTTGTAACATCTTAACTGTCGTCACCTTTGAAATTTAAGAGTTGTATCAGTTCATATCGCACATTACTATTTTTATTTGAAGCATATCTGTGCAGTCTCTGTTGTAAATAGCTACATAACCTACGTCATGTTTAAAAATTTTAGAATTGTACAAGCGTCTCTATGATGTTCAGTTTAAACAGTTTTATTGTATAAATTTCAAGATTGTCATAGTTTCTAATCAGACTAGATTGATATGATTCATTTTACATCGTGATCATACTGATGAAGGATATCTGTTATCTGAAATATTTAACATTTGTTCATTTTATTCATGCCAAGAAATCCTCGCTAAAAATTCCGGTCGACATCCTACGGCACCCATTAGTAGTTAAAGATTTGATTTCATTCAACAAATTAATTTATGACCTGCATATACGTATCGCTTAGAACAAAGCCATATAGCAAATGGTCAATATTAATCATCCGTGTAATTTGCTCTATGGGATGTTTGCAAAATTTCAACGGAGGCAATTTCTTGGCATGGGAGAAAGGAAGAAAGACCATTCACAATTTGTTTAACATTTTTTCTCTCTTTTAATTAAATTAAAAAAAAAAAACCTTTCAAATGTAGAGCTCATAAATAAAATTATTTCCTGTGAAACCCCCCTCCCCCCTTTTTTTTTGGCGTTCTCCATTTTGAACCTTCGATTTAAGCTTACCAATCTAATTAAAATTAAAACCTTGCTTTCTAACCGATCTATTCATGTACCGGACCGGCAACTCTCTATATTCAATAAGAAAATCTACAGTTCCGTTATACACATGCATGTTGTCTGCTTGGAGTCCCCGCCTACAAAAAGGAAATAGCCTAACTCCAAGATAAAAATCTTCCTGCATCACGTGATTTTTACCACGTGGAGCTTACATTAGAATAAATACCGAATATGGAAAGTGAAACTACAATTCAAAACATAAAGTCCGAAGGCACAAAGAAGAAAAAGTTCGTTTTTTTTTTTGCAAAGGGTGCCTGGGTAATCCTCTCTGTTTTCAAACTATATATGAAATATTTGCCACTGCTGCTTGTCTGTTCTATGAATTCTAGCCCTGAGTTTTTCTATCTGTTACATGCCAAGAAATCCTCGCTAAAAATTCCGGTCGACCTCCTACGGCACCTATTAGTAGTTAAAGATTTGATTTCATTCAACAAATTAATTCATGACCTGCATATACGTGTCGCTTAGAACACAGCCATATAGCAAATGGTCAATATTAATCATCCGTGTAATTTGCTCTATGGGATGTTCGCAAAATTTCAACGGAGGCAATTTCTTGGCATGTATTATTTTTTGGTGATGGTGTACCCTTTTAGACTTGTTATATATATATATATATATATATATGTGTATTGTCAGATACAATTTGTATTCACTATTTTAATGTTTCATTTTTATGGTCAGTCAATATGTCTTAATAAACTGGAGAAACAAATAAAGGTTTAAAACTAAAAAAAATTAATTAAATACTTTATTTTCTTATTTTCACCATCTGGACAAAAGTCACCTTCTTTTAACATTCTTTCAATTATTTTTAACAAAATTTGATAGTTTTTTAATTTCTAACCCCTTTTCTTTAACCAATTTGCATGAAAGTTTGGCGAATTGTTTATATCTATTGACGTAAGTTCCCTTACGATTTATATAAATTTTAGATTTTGCATTTCCGAGTGATGTGGTTTTATTCATTAAAAAAAGGGGGGAGGTTTCCAGTTTTCGGACAATAACTCAAGAATGCTTTGAGCAGTTTTCACGAAACTTTGGTGACTGATTATATTGAAATAACCTCCCTTTAGTTTTTATAAATTTCTGATATGACATTGAGAAGTTGTGGAACTTTATTCATTGAAAATGCGACGGGCGTATCATGCGCTCATGGCACAGCTCTTCATTAACTTTTAACCTGTAAAGGAAAATTTTTATGTTACTTTATAATTTAATGAAATAGAGCAGTATGCAGCCTGCAGCCCGCAACCTGCAACACGCAGCCCGCAACCTGCAACCCGCAGCCCGCTAATTAGTGATACTGTTTGCTGATGTCTTCGTAAAAAAACGCTGTGTGAGGATCGTATGCACACTATCACAATTTGTAGCAATTAAAATGAAACTAGATATGGTAAAATTGTAACCTATTAAAGTGAAACCTGAATGGTGCATCAATGGATTGCAGGAATTTGATATGCAGGAAACTGGTAAGCAGGAATTTGATATACAGGAAACTGGTAATCTCGGTTAATACATTAAATTTGTACGTACATGTTACATGTATTTCTTCGTAAACATTACAATAAACAAACCAATATAATCGTATAATGTGAACTTGTCTGCAGAAAGAAATCTGTCATGTACAACAACTCCACAGTTATAAGGGTGTCTGTCCGTTTTGTAATTTTATTCTTCTTTATATCACCCCAATGAAATTATCTAGCTCTGTCTGAAATCTTTTAATATATCCCCTTTAATGTACATAGATAAATAGCTACATTATAGGTGACATATAGTAGCTTTTGGAGGTAACAATTTATAGTAATTCACATCACATATATTCTTGTTATAACTTTGTTGAACAGCTTTCAATTGCTTTTGAGCATTTCCATAAGCTCAAGTTCATATGTGTTTCGGATAAGCGAGATTTCTGAAATAAGAATGTTGGTAGCAACACTATTTTTTAAGATAAACTCAATACAATAAGGTATTTAGACATATTTCTTTCTTTTATAAAACAGTATGTGTTAAAATTGCAATAGTTATTTAATTATCGTAGTTTGGACAAGAAGAATAAATAATTGAATGGAGAGAAACTAATGTTATACGAATTTGGATAGAATACATAATACACATTACCAAGGACTAATAACTGTTTTTATCCAAATTCGGATAAGAAGAATACATGACCTACTTCACAGAGTTAAGTATGCAATGACGATCCTTATCCAAATTCGGATTAGTATATCTATATTCAATATTAAGTCGTCTTGGTCGTTATCCGAATTCGGATAAGAAGGACAAATGAATTGTGCATAGGAGTACTTTTTTATGACTTTCTTTTCCGAATTCGGATAAAAGCAAATTAAAGGTACCAAAAAAATGTATATATCAAGCAGCCTTATTATGAAAAAGTATACATTACTTTTCTTATCTTAATTAGTTAATAATATGATTGATGATTTATTGTTGTTTGTCTTACGTCCAGTGGGAAATATTTCAAGTACATGCAAATTTGAAAGCAAATTATTTACGGTACATTCGGTTCTATAAACTGCTTTCCTGGAAGAAATTGCGAGTATTTCGTTTGTCATTGGAAAATGCGAGTATGTTAGACTGCAGTAGAAGAAAAAACCTCCAACATACCATCAAAAGGAACAATGAGGACCTCTACAAAGATTGTTGCGGTTTTTTTAATGCTTGGACAGTGCTATATTCTCACTAAACATCAGATTTATCGTTACGCCAAACCGATGCGACTAGTTAGGATATGGTTAGCCACAGATGAAAGAAGTGAAGGAATGTTTTTTTTTTCTTACAGATCGTTTGTCGTTCTATTTTTTCGAGGTTTTACATGTCATCATAGCTTATGCTTTAAATCCATATAAAAATATAACAAAAAGAGAAACAAAATATCCCGAAATACTGCATTTACACACATACAAATTTCAAAAGAATATGCAAGTTTTTGTTGTTTTTACTGATTCTCTTATAACTAATCAGTTGGAAGAATGTATCTTGAATATTTAGATAAGATTGTTTGTCTCCCTTCACTTTATCATTTTGGAGACCTTTTAACCATGAATCTGCATCGTTTGCCAGTTAATGTTTTACCAGTAAACAAATTTTTGTTAAATCTTGAATATGTTACCAAATAGATAATATAGTAAGAGATGCAGAATCAGGATTTGAAAAAGGGGGTGGGGGTGCCCCCTACTTAGAAAAGTTTGGAGTTGAAAAGGTAAAAAGTGTGGATTCAACAGTATATGTACATGTAGCATCTCAAGGGGGTGGCGGTGATGCTACCTCCCTTAAATCCGTCTCTGGGTGAAAAGAGTTCTTGAAATAGACATGAGTACGATTTATTCATTGAATTTTGAATTTGCTTTACTTTCTGCGTTTTTTCAAACATGACGATTCAACCGAATCTAGTACTGTAGTTAAGATACCCAGTACACACACGTGTAAAAATTTCTGTCAAAAATGAAATTTTTTAATAGCAAATCAAAACATGAAAAATTAGTTTAAAATAAACAATTCTGTAACTTGACTGTTTTAGCTATAATATGATAAATAGTATCGTCAATTAATTGAAGTAGCTCGTTGTTGTATACATTTAACATCTGCTTCCTTTTATACTGTATTTCATTGTATGTTGTTACTTAAATCTTGTTTATATATATAATTTACACTTTATATACTTGTATATAAAAATAATATATATAAACAAATTATTTACCTTTTGTAAACGAAATATGTATATATATTAATTTCCAACAGTCAAGAACTAGTTAGACAAGAACAAGACTCGATCACAAACTTTTTCCGGAGTCATATACGCACGTGCAGATTAAGTAATCTGACGTAGCTTTCCTTGTATTTCGGTGACCAGAGGTTGAATGACTTCTTGTATTTTTTGTTATCGTAACAGGCACATCTTTTTAGTATTCATGCCAATCGTTACTGACGCTGCACCTTTACTAGAGTGAAAAGCGGGAAAGGGTATAGATCTGTACATAAAAATTATGCATATGGACAAATTCCTTAATTTGATTTAGTATTAGAACAAAAATCGAGAATCATTTTTACAAAAGATTTCAACAAAAGAAATCTGACTGTTTCCGTAGCGGAGGAGTATTAAGTTTCACCCTTGTGTCCGTCTGTACGTCCGTACGTCCCAGAATTGGTTACCGTTCTCTAACTTAAATTTGCCTCAACCAAATGTTATGAATCTTATACACAATGTTTATTACCACAAATTAATAATCAAGTGTGAACTTGGGTGGCGTAACCTTTGTCGTTCAAGAGTTATGCATAGACAGTACAAATCCAACAACGATTTCTGGATTTAATTTGTTGTGTTGCATCGTTTTAATGGCTTCAATGTCTAAACACGCGGCGGTGTCTTTATTGTTTTAGACATGACGAGCTAATTTTGTTAAGTTTGAGCTGACAAATGATCGCAAAATCACTACATCCGGATGTTGACTTAGAGTTAGATTATGATATATGATAATATATAAATAACACATAGCTAAGAGGGTGATAGAGCAGAATGTTACCCCGAGAAAACATTGTCAACTGAGACGAAGCCAAGGTTGACAATGTCTTTTCGGGGGTTAACAATCTGCACTATCACCCTCTCAGATATGTGTTATTTAATTTATTATACTGAATGTTCTGTTATAACTGTCTATTAAATTTCAAATTCAAAGTAATAAACTATGTCGTCTTGTACATAACAATCATCCGTATTTATTAAGGCGCACACTTGAGCAAGCGTCTCCGTGAAGGGTAATAGAGTATTTCCCATGGGAAAGAGTAAATTGTCTCCCTCGTATTAACCAATCAAAATCTGGCATTTTGACATGAAGTATAATAATATATAATATAATATAATGTTATTATTCTCTGAAACTGACATTATCAGGATGTTTGATTTCTAGCTTAATAACATATTTGTTAAGATTGAAGGACATTTTTGTCATAACTCGGCATTACCATGGAAACCAACTGTGTGCTTTTCTTGTCGACTTGTTTCTTCATTCATATGAGTCTGACGTCGTACACGACCTTCTTATGAAGATAAAAAAAGCTAACATTATCCGTTAATTTCACTTTTCGCTTAACAGATGATGTCCTCTTACTAAATAATTCAAAGTTTGGTGGCTTTTTTGAAAACATCTATCCCATCGAACTTGAAATAAGGGATACAACAGATACAGTTAAGTCTGCCTTATATCTTGACTTATATCTAGAGATTAAAATTGCGGGTGTGTTGAAAACTAAACTTTACGACAACAGAGATGATTTCAGGCTCCCAATTGTGGACTTTCCATTTATAGGTAGCATATTCCAGCAGCGGATATGTTCCAGTCGTCGTAACCACAGGCCCATTCTCCTGTTCCCCCGAATGTGACCTACCGATCTAGACTTATCACCGGTTTTGTTTTAATTTTTTTTGTTGTCTGCACAGTAAAGGACACTTGCGTGGTTTTTGTTCGCATAGTATTGAAAACTATGCGTGTTTTTATATTTTGTGTGCACCGTATGGGACACTGTTGCTTAATTTTCTTTAATACGGAATGTAACGAGATCCGTTTGTGGTAACTTTTGAAAGTGATGTACCGTGTGTGCCTTACATTTTTCTATATGAATCTTCGAATCATATATTTAAGGTCGTTCCACTCCGTTAGGAAAGACCTTATTGTTTTTCTAATGTTTTTAAGGTCTTTCCACTCCGTTAGGAATTTTTTGATTTTATGTTATGAACTTTTTTTCTCACCCTTTCTAATATACGATCGACATAAAAGACCTAATGGGATGGTATAAGTTATCATAAAACTCGTCTGAACCTGCTTTATGTTTCTGTACCAATCCTTAGTCTGGTATCTTGTGACAGTGGTTGTTGCTTTTATCAATAAAGAAATTAGCATTGGTGCTTACCCGAATAATTCAGTCCCTCCCCGTAATCGATCATTCCTACTTGCGATGGAGTAATCGTAGATCAGCGGAATCTCACGACTGAATTAATCGGGTTACATTGGTTCTAGGTATTTGATCGTCTCTGCTAGATTCAAACAGAATTGTGCAAACGACGTGTGCAAATGTCTATTGTTAAAAACCGTATGGTTACCTCTCCATCATTCTGTTTTACTTTCATTCTGTACTCAGGTTTCTTTATCTAAAACGTTTATCTAACATGTGTAGTTGGGTTGCTGCCTCGTTGTCGTTCTACCCGATATATTTACTATAGTATTTCTATTGGTGACGTAATACAGACATATTCATTGAGAACGCTGTCTCAATAACATTTACCCGACATATGTAGTGAGGTTGTTTTCTCACTGAGGTTTATTCGACATACGTATGAAGGTTGGTATCTTATTAACATTTACCTGACATATGTATTGAGGATGCTGTCTCACGGACGTTTATCCGATATGTTTAGTTAGGTACTTGTCCCATTGACATTTACTCAACATATTCATGAAGGTTGTTATCCGATATTTGTAGTTATGTTCTTGTCCCATTTACTTGACATATGTATGCATGTTGTTATCCGATATTTGTAGTTAGGTTTTTGTCCCATTGACATTTACTCAACATATGTATGAAGGTTGTTATCCGATATTTGTAGTTAAGTTCTTATTCCATTGACATTAACTCAACATATGTATGAAGGTTGTTATCCGATATATGTAGTTTGGTTTTTGTCCCATTGATATTTACTAGACATATGTATGAAGGTTGTTATCTCATTGACATTTACCCGACATAGGTAGCAAGGTTATTTTCTCATTGGCATTTACCCGACAAACGTAGCAAGTTTGTTATCTCATTGACATTTACCCGATATCAAGTCAGTTTGCTGTCTCCCTGACGTTTACCGATATATGTAGTGGGGATGCAGTCTCCCTGGCGTTTAACCGAAATGTGTAGTAAATTTGCTGTCATCCTGACGTGTATTAAGAATGCTTACTGCATGACGTTTACCGACATGAATATATTACATATGATGTAGCATTCAGATCGTAATATCCAATGAAAACAGGAGAAATTCTCCTGTTTTCATTGGATATCACGATCACGTGTTTGAAAGGTTATTTTATGTATCCGAAGCCTTGTTTCTATTTCTAAGTATATTGACGCTATGTTTCTATTTATATGTATATTGACGGTCAATATGGAAAATCTTGCTAAATTTAGATTAATGACGTCATGACGTCACACATAACAACCATGGTGAAGCGCCGCATCAGATGAAAACAAAAGTTGAAAGTTTATCTCAAGAATTTTTATGTTAAAGGCAGACGCTAAGAATACAAGAAAGCTAACGCGACAAGCTATGAAGATCTTCAAAGAATATTGATATTTTCAATAACATGTTAAAATTCTTGCAAAATACAATTTAAAAATACACAGAAAGAACATTGAACGCCATTTTCCTAATACATTATTTAAATATGTAATATATAAATTAAGGACTTTCACTCAGTCAATACGTTATATATGGACCTGTTAGATTATATTGACACTTGGACTTCGTCCTCGGTCAATATAATCTAAACAGGTCCATATATAACGTATTGACCTCGTCAAAAGTCCATAATTGATAAATGTAGCACGGTGAGGTTGCTGTCTCCCTGACGTTTACCCAAAATGTGTAGTGACGTTGCTGTCATCCTGAAGTGTAGTGAGGTAGCTAACTTCATGACGTTTACCGACATATGTAGTGAGGTTGCTGTCTCCCTGACGTTTACTCATAATGTGTAGTGACGTTGCTGTCATCCTGAAGTGTAGTGAGGTTACTCACTGCATGACGTTTACCGACATATGTACTGAGGTTGATGTCTCACTGACGTTTGCTCAACATACATTATGTAGTGAGGTTGCTGTCAAAGAGAGAGAGAGAGAGAGAGAGAGAGAGAGAGAGAGAGAATTCTTATGTTGATTCCATAACATAGCATCTCATAGTTACAGAGTGATTAGTGTAAATATGAAATATGTATAATAAAACGCATAAATATTATATATCAAGGTGAGATGTAGGTGGCTAGTCTCCCATGACTTACTTTTAATTATCCTTAGTTATAATTTTATTACTTTTTAACTATCTCTTTGTGAAATTTTTCATGTTTTAATGTTTTATAGTCTAATATGCTCTACCAGTAAGTATAATTATATCGGTTATACAGTCATGTATAAATTACATAATTATACTTGAAATTTACTTAAATACCAATATGAAACTGATGTATAAAAGGAAGGAAATGGACCTTTATTTCAGCACATCAGTGTATTGTTCGATGCCATTTCAGAAATGAAAGTCAATTTTTATTATTTTAATTGACTAAAATTACAATAGGAAATTGTGGTTTTTATCTGAACGAAAATTATTCAAAATTAAAACATCTGTGTAATTTTCTCACATGACTATATTAAAGTAGACCAATTCAAAGGTTGAACTGGATTCAAAGTATATCTTGGTATATTAAGTACATAAAATGAAATTGGTGTATTTTGTTGTTGTTTTATTTCAACGTTAAACAGCTCTGGGGCTCTCATCATTTTGTGAGCTTTAGACTTGGCGTGTTTGTTTGATGTGTGGAATTGCTTTTTTGAACTACTTGTGACCGTGCAGATGTAATGTGAGCGACCAATTTGTGTCTGACCAATATAATGACTGAGAACCACTGACTGGTTGATGACTTTGACTTATAATAACCTCTGACTGGTTAACTGGAAAAATACAGACAATTTGAAATATAATACTTTATTCTTTGATGGTCGCTTTGCAAGTGCATGATATATTATGCAATACACAAT